ACGCCTGCATCTGTAAACTCCATGACATATAATTGGACTCTCCCAGTTTCTCTACTGGAAAATAGGAAGCTCCCCCTTGAGCTCCAGCTCCAAGTCCAGCCATGGCGCCACCCAGCTTTCAGCTTTCCACTCAGTCCTTACTCACACGTGGCTTGAAGAAATGTTCAGCTCCTGGTCCCAAACAGACACTCCCTGCCAATGCCTTCACACAGCCAGCTGCTTGAGAAACGCTGAGTTGCTTCCAGTCTCTGGGTTCTTTTCACGCTCTGTCTCTGCCCACTCAGGACTGGGGACTGGGCCCATAACCTGTTGGAGGGGGATTTCCAGCCGGTGGCAGAGAACAGAGTGACTCCAGGAGACATAGGTGTAAAAACCCAAACTAAAACGAAGACTTTATTACTAAGCAAATCAACACAAACTCTGGTGGATGTTATTCCTGCAGGCAGGCAACAAAACTCAGCTTTTTTCCTTTATAGCAACGGTCACCTGCAGCCAATTAATCCCAGAAACTTCTTAAAGGTATACACACATGTTTCTGTGCCGAATGTCCTCTAACATTTTCTGCACCTCAAGTGCTTTCATGTAAGGGCTTGGCCAGACTGCTGAAATCAGGTATCCATAGTCTACAAAACCCTGCTGTTCCCAGGAATCCTCTGAGTTGTTTCCTTGTGGTAGGTTCCTTGATAAGGCAAATAGCTTCTTTCCTCTCTGGTCTCAATGCTCGTTGTTGGTGTGAGATGTCAAAGCCCAAATATTTGACCTTTTCTAAACATAACTGTGCCTTTTTCTGGGAAACTCGGTAGCCAGCTTCCCAGAGCAAGCGGAACAGTTCCTCTGTTCCTTCTTTACAAGTATCAAAATCCTTTGTCGCTAGTATAAGATCATCTACATATTGCAGAACCATCTTTTCTCCAGGTATTGAGGGGTAACTTGTTAGATCCTTCGCCAAGGCAGTGCCAAATAAAGTTGGGGAATTTTTGAATCCCTGGGGCAATCTTGTCCAGGTTAGCTGGCCTTTTGTTCCTGTCCAAGGGTCTTCCCACTGGAAGGCAAATATAGGTTGGCTCTGTGGTGCCAGCCGACAACAGAAGAATGCATCTTTCAAGTTCAAGTCCAATACAGTAAAAAATGTTGCTTCTGGTGGGATCAAACTCAGCAGGGTATATGGGTTTGGTACAGTTGGGTGCAGGGTCTCGATAGCCTGGTTTACGAGCCTCAAGTCCTGTACTGGCCTGTATTCATCTGTCCCAGGTTTCCGAACAGGCAAAAGGGGTGTGTTCCATTCTGATTGGCAGGGCTTAAGCAGACCATATTTTAATAGGCGATCCAAATGTTTCTGGATGCCCTCCGCTGCTCGCTGGGGTAAAGGATATTGCTTTACAGATACAGGGGTAGCCATAGGTTTTAGGGTTACTACAATTGGAGCTATATTCTTAGCCATCCCTGGTGGGCTATTTTCGGCCCATACTCCTGGTGGCACCTGTAGGGTTCGGAGGAACTTGTTTAATTCTGTATCCAATGTGGGTTGGACTTGCAGGGCTGACATTAGGCGCCATGATTTTTCCTTAGGTAATGAGAGGGTAATTATTCCTGCTGCCTTCGATGGCACTTTCATTTCTGGACCTCGGGGAGTGAAGGTGATTTGGGCCTGCAATTTGGACAGCATATCTCTACCTAAGAGAGGTATTGGACACTCAGGTATATACAAAAACTGATGGGTTAAACGATGTCCCCCAATCTGGCATTCCAAAGGTTGGAGGAAAGACCTCTTAGCTGACTGACCAGTGGCACTTTTAATGACTACACTTTTGGATGCCTTTTTCTGCAATAGTTCTGGGAGTACTGAGTATTCAGCCCCCGTATCTATCATAAAGTCTATTAAATGGCTCCCTAATTGAATCGTGACTGTGGGCTCCTGGAAGCCTAACTTTATGGAGTCTGGTCATTCCTAGTCTTGGGTAAAATCCTTCTCTGCCAGTCCAATGAAATTATCTCTACTCTGTCCTTGTCCAGGTCTCTGATATCTTCCATTTCGGATCATTCCCCATCCCTGGTTTCTTGGGCCGGAGCCTGGGCCTGGGCCTGGGCCTGGGCCTGGGCGTACTTCTTCCAACCTCAGGGGTTCAGTACCCTCCCGCTTCCAATGACCCTCCTTCTTGCAATTCGCACATTGATTCCTTCCCTGTCGTGGATTCCTTCCCCGCCCTCTCCCTCCATTTAAGGGGCGGTAGTCTTGCTTCACCACTGTGGCCAGCATTACCATCTTTTCCTTCTGCCACTTCTTCTTCTCTTGTTTCTCAGCCTCATCCCTATTCCGATAAACTCAGTGTGCAATGGCCATAATTTGGCTCATCAGCATCCCTTCCCATCCTTCTAATTTCTGAATGTAGCAGTAATCATTCTGCTGTATTCAGGGGCTTCAGGGTCAAAAGGAGTCCATATACGATAGGCTTCCTACAGCCTCTCTAAAAAGTCTCCCGGACTCTCATTTGGTTTCTGTTCTACTTCTGAGACTTTAGACATATTAGTGGGCTTCTGGCATGCCCTGCGGATACCTTGCGCAAGCGTCTGGCGGTAGGTGGTAAGCCTGGCCAGGTGAATTGCATTGTTTGGATCCCAATTAGGATCCTCCAAGGGAAAGTTGTCCTGGAGATGACAGTCAATATTAAAAATATTTTCCACTCTGGCCTGCTCATGCAAATATACCTGTGCCTTTTCAATTATGTCTCTCCTTTCCTCAGTGGTGTGGCCATATCCCAAAAACTTCATAACCTGAGGCCCCCTTTCTGCACATGCGTGCGGCGCTGTGGAGCACTTCTGCTGAAGAAACATGGTTTCACAATTTCTTTCTAAAATCACCAAGCTTCCCTGAGTAAGGGAAGCCAAAAGAGAGAGAAAATCGGGAAACTATGGAGGCCTTGAGTAATCTATACCAGGAGTGGGGAATCACTGACCTGGGGGCCAAATGCAGCCACTGCATGCCCCTGCACAGGGCCTATGGGGGGGAAGGTAGTACGTCCCTGTTTGGGATCAGAAGTGGGACATCAGAAAATGTTTGCATATATTGTGTGAAGACTAGCATTTATATTTTGACTACATAGAATGCCATGAGGCCTCTTCCTCCCTCTGCTTCCTCTTCTGTCAACATGCCCCTGCTTTCTTGTCCCCATGGAAACAGAGAGTTGGTGCTGAAGTCCTGGTGAAAGGTAGCGTGACTGGGCATGGTGAGAGGTGAATGAGAAGGTGGACTTTCCTTGCCTCTCCTGTGGATGATGTGCTCTGCTCTGTGAGGGGACTGCCACCCGCCTGTGAAGTGTGGGATATTTACCATGCAGCGAAACCAACAATGCATGTTTGCTAGATAGGCAAATGAGAGGAGCTGAAGCCCTCTGAGTATTTTCCTGTATGGTTCCTAGAAGGAAATCTGAAAGACACTCCCACTGTGCCCCGTTTGTTGAGGGTGTGGGCACTTCCTCTTCCTTTTTGCTCACTTATCATCATTCTTCCAGCAATGTAGAACCATCTGTTTGTGTGAGCTCCAAAGCTCAGACTCCATCATAAGCTTGACCAAATTATGTCTTTGTAACTGGATCACCATTTTAAGCCTCTGGACAAGGCTGCTGTATCTGTTACTCTTCAACAAGTATTCTGAATGAGTATATGTTATCTTTACCTTTTTCAAGCAAGAATCTGTGTGATTATTGTTTTAAGGGAGAGAAAAAAGGAAAGACTTTTTAAGCAGCAAGGGGATACACTCTGCTGAACTTACAAACATGAGGAAGGGAGGATAATATCTAAGAAATACAACTTTTCTGAGCATCAATACACATCTCTACTTGAAGGACAGCAGGTGATGGCCTGACGTGATGTCATACCATCATGTTGTGCTTGTGTGTGGTGGGCACCCACATACTGGGGCTCAGGTTGGTGCCTCTGGTCACAGGTGTCTTCTCCTCCTCCTGCAACAGGCTACTCCCCCCCCCAAAAAAAACAACCCAGGAGGGGCATGAAAAGAGTAGAGGTGAGATCAGATGCACACAGTCTCAGTCATGGAAAAAGCCCTGGAGAGGAGACTTAGGCAGATGCGAGGTGTTTGGGGATCTTTCGTCTTGGTAACTGATTTCATAGAGTAAAACCCACAGGAAATGAGCTGTTGTATTCATTAGGCCTGACACTCTGTGAAAATTGTGTTTTTACTATGAAAGAGTTAACTCAAACTTTCGTGGAACCAGAAGAAACCCGAGTCCCCCTAAAAATTGGAGGCAAAGCTTACTGGCTCTCTTTAAAAGTGAGGCCGAATTGTCTGCCTCAACATGTAGTCTGAGCTGTTACATGACTGAAACGTGTCCCAGTATAGGACTGTGATTGATTAATCTCCCCCAGGAATTTCAAAACGACACTTTAAAACGTATCTGAATTTGTACAAGAGGGACAGGCCACAACAAACTTTAAAGTAAATACCTTAGAATATTTACATGGTTTTGCAGAAGAAAATATGCTGTACTCATTGATTGATTGAGCTTTGGTGGGTGTTGCGCAGCACATCTGCTGTGGCACTCCCCATTTTACCTCTAGTGGCGAAATAGGATATACCACTCTTGACAGCAAGGCAGCCCAAAGTCTGCCATTCTTCTCTGGTAGGGACTTTATCTTTCTTCCATTTCTTTTTTCTCCCCATTTTACCTTAAGTGGAGAAATGGGATGCACCACCCAAAGTCGACTAATTATTGATTAAAATTTGACCTGAACGTCTGGCCAGGGATTTCACCCCTCCCCGCTGCCAAAGCTATCTCCCATCTCCAAGCACTATTATTTCCCCCAAGAAATGTTGCTTTTGGTAAAATGATACAACACACATGATTTGCCATATATATTTATTTTGGGCATGATTCAATGACCTCATTTGTACATGAAAGTCAAATACAGCCTGTCTTTGAGGAGGAGCTTCTAGACTTCTAGGAAGAAAGCTTGGGAGTCCTCAAGCTGAGACCACCCCTTCTTCAACCCCTAGGCGAAACGGTGGTGTCTTCTGTGGCATCCTCGTCCATTGCTTCAGTGCAGTCTGTTTGAATGATGTCAAATCCCAATGATCCAAGATCAGTCTCCAGCAACCCATCCATGTAGTCACACACACTAGCTGTTGCACAGCCTCGGACAGCGCCCAGGATCCTGCTTCCCCCTGTTGGGAAAAACACACACATATATTTTTGGAATCCAAAACCCACTCCCTGAAACAGAAGGGTAGGCAACTTTTCTCAGACCAAGAGCCTTTTTCCAGTCTGGGTGACCTTCTGGGAGGTCCACATGCCATTGGAAACATATGTAAAATTCACCTTTACACGGCAGGCTATTTTCTAGATACATTCAAACCCCCTTCTCTGTTCTCCCTCCAGGTAACCAAGATTCAGGGGCAACAATCCAGCCAGGCCAAAGCATACAGGTAGGGTATGAAGTGGGGCTTGTGAGGGGTGTGGCCTAGGGAGAGGAGGTGTGGCTAAGGTGGATCCAAAGGGCCAGAGAGAGAGAGAGTCCTAGAGGAATGCCTTTGGCTCCTGGACCTGTGGGTCTCCATCCTGCCCCCTCCAATTTAAAGTGCAAATTTTAAGATGTATTTTTATTTAACAAAATCTATGTTTACAGATGGGGCCGTAGCTGCACTCCATAATACAAGACTCACCGAAGTCCATGCTAGCCGCAAGGTAGAAGCATTGATCCTCATCATTTCTGCAGCTGACGGTCTTATTGCTCTCACACTCATCTGAAAAGATGTTGATGCAACTCGGGCACTTCAGCCCATTGGGCTCCCTTGTCTCAGTCTCAGGCACTGGAAAACAATCACCACACCACACCAACATTGCAATTAGTCAATGTATTTCTTTTGCAGATGCAAACCACAAATTGCTGTACGTGAGGGGTGGGAATTGTGCTTCCCCTTCCAAGATGGATGCATACCACCTTCTAGCACTTCTGCAAGTGGAGTGCTTCAGCCATGCTTCATTCATCCAGGGCTACATTAAGGCATGGTGCAAGAGATTTCTGACGGGGCCACATTCACAGCAAACATTTCAAGCACAGGGATATCACTTTAAGCAATTGGGCTTAGCACTGAGCACCACTGGGGGGCATTCTGAGAGACAAAATGGTAGCCATGAATGCACACAAACAATGATAAAATTCTACAAAATGGCCCTCTTCCTTAGAGTGGTAAAGAGAAAGAAAGCTCTTAGTAGCTTTATCCTTAAAAAACACTTCTGGGAAAACATGTGCTTAGTTTTGGTAAAATCATGCTTTCACCTAAGAAAAAATGCCAGCTAATAAGAGCTATTGTGTGGGGTTTGTTTGTTGATCCATAGCTCTGTGAGGGGAATAGGGGTTTTCCAATTAACCCTCAGCACCTTTAAGAAACTACCACTCCCAGAATTCTTTGTCCTAGTGTTGTTATAGTGTTTACAATAAAAGCTTACACTAGGATGTTGGGAATGCTAAGGTGAACCACAAAATGGTGCCTCCTCGCACCAAGGAGGGAGGGGTGAGTGAAGATCTACATCAGGAGCAAGGGAATGTGAACATCTACATCAGGAACAAGGGTGGGAGGAGACCAGAGGTCAAATCTGTTCTTGAGCCACGACACTTGCTGTGTGACCTGGGACCAGACACTGCCCCTTAGCCTGACTTATTTTACACGGGTGTTTGAGGCTAAAATGGTGAGCAGGAGAGCCAGACACGCCACCTTAAGCTCTTTGAAGGAAAGAGTGGGGTTGTAAATATTAGAAGCTGCTGCAGGAGAGGGACTGTGAGTAACATCATGTGAGGAATGTTTCTAGGGCTAAGGTAGAACTGTGAAGCTTCCTTGTAATATTTGCTCATGAATGCTGCATGCTGTTCAAGTAATCTTGTTATTGATACATGGTTTTTGGTTTTGTTCTATCTGCAGTCTTTCTTTTACTATGCTATGTTGTTAAATAATGCAAATATCCTCTTAGAAAGCACTGTTCTGTTGGCGAAGACAGGAGCCCATGTTGCGGATGTTTGTAGAAGGCCTGGCCAATCCAGAGGTATCATACTGCTTTCTCACTCGATGGATCATCACCTTGTCGTGGTGAGTGGGTTTGCACGCTTTCAAAAATGATCTTGTGAAGCTCCTGTCAGAAGTCTCTAACGGTAATAATGAATGACTTTCAACTCCCCAAATAAAGCTCAAATTAATCGTCTTTCCTAGTGTCACCCTTAGGCATCTCCTGGAGTGACTGGCTGCCACCATTCCTCCTTGTCTAGCCAGTCCCTGACATCAGGACACTGCCAAAAACTTGTTTGTCTTTCTTTGACATCTCTCATTATTTGAGTTTGTGAGATCATCTTTCCTGATGATGATACTTACTTTCAGGAGGTCCGCTGTTGCACATATCTGTATTGCAGCAAGTTGACTTGCTCTGGATGTACAGTGCTGAGGTTATGGAGACACTGGTATGGTTTTCCTCACACAACTCTGTATCGATGCAGGACTTGAGAACCACTCTTGACCCCAAAAGTGCTATAAAAGAAAGAATTGGAATAGGAAACAACTAGATCTGGAGATAGGACTGGTCCGCCCATGAGGCAAGGATTGATGGTCACCTTATGTGGCAGGATCCAGAGGGGCAGGGGATCTGACCACCAAGAAAAGCATCGCCTGATGCTGCTGCCTTTGAAGCTGTGGTGTGATCCTTGGAGGCAAGATCTGCCACCTCCTCGTCAGTTCCTCTCCCCCAGCTGAGCCACCCCATGTCCCTGTTGTTCGTGACAGGGACCTTGGAGCTCCTTCCTTTTTCTTTTTTAATATAATGTTTATTAAAATTTCTTTTTTCCTTTATAACAACCGAATAAAATTTCTACATCACATATATTTTGCTCAAGTTGAGCATTCATTTCCTCCCATCCCCCTCCCTGACTTCCATATGCAATCACTTTTATTTCGCATTTCTAAATCACCCTATTTACTTTATCTCCATCCTTAAAAGACTTACTTCTAATATTTATAAATAGGTATCAAATCATAACCTAACAATATATTTTAAATCAATCCTGCAAATGTTTTAAAATGTTTGCAATGTCTATTCATATATGGTACAAATTTACTCCAGTCCTTTTCAAACAGTTCGTCTCGCTGGTTTCAGATTTCCCCCATCGCAAGTTTAAAAGGTAAAGGGACCCCTGACCATTAGGTCCCATCGTGACCAACTCTGGGGTTGAAACGCTCATCTCGCTTTATTGGCCAAGGGAGGCGGCGTACAGCTTCCGGGTCATGTACCAGCCAGACTAAGCCACTTCTGGCGAACTAGAGTAGCGCACGGAAACACAGTTTACCTTAATGCCAGAGCGGTACCTATTTATCTACTTGCACTTTGACGTGCTTTTGAACTGCCAGGTTGGCAGGAGAAGGGACCGAGCAATGGGAGCTCACCCCGTTGCGGGGATTCGAACCACTGACATTCTGATTTGCAAGTCCTAGGCTCTGTGGTTTAACCCACAGCGCCACCCGCATCAAATACCACCTCGGAGCTCCTTTCTGAGGCTCACTCCACCTCTCTGGTGCCCATGCAGGCACACTGCCTCTTTCCTTGTGGGGTGGTCATTCGCAAAGTGCAGGCTGCAAAGCCACCCTACCTATCCCTTGCAGGGCTGCCTGCAGTGCCTGGCTGCCTTCGACTGTCAGAGTGGCTTCCGTCTTTCCTCTTGTGCTGAAAAAGGCAGCCAGGTGGCAGCCAAGGCTGTCTCCGCCCGGAGCCTGCACTCCACACAGGCTCTTGCAGCTGGGGAGGGGGAGCACTTTAACTGAGCCCCCGCCCTACTACTAGCTCATTTGGGGTTTCCGCAAAATCGCTTGGCTGTGGCGAGGGCAGCGGTGTGCTCTTAACTCAAGCAGTTTAAGGAGGGAGGGAGGAATAATCTTTATAAGCCTCGTCATGCAGCTTGTTTCTCCCACTGCCGGTATGAAGGACAGAACATGATGGTGATTTCACTCAGCGATATATCTTTAATAAAACTGCCACCCCTCCTGAGTCCCTCTGCCTCCAGCTCCAGGCTGCTGCTTGTTTTGTTTTTCCTCAGTGTGCTGGGTGCTGGAGGCAGAGGGACTCAGGATAGGCAGGGTTTCCCCCACCGATTTACTGCCGAGTGAAGCTGTCATCACGGTCTGCCCCTCATACCAGTCCTGGGGCGATATATCAATAAATCGCCCAGGCCGAATCTTCAGTCACCCTTTCTTCCAGGTCTGCGGGGTGGGGAACATTTCATGGTTTGACTCAGGTATCCAATTGTCTTGAGCTGGCCCTGCTTGGAGAAGAAAGAGATTTCTCCAGTTTTATTTATTTATTTGTTGTACGTGAGTCAGGAATGGAGAACCTTTGGCTGTCCAGAGGTTTCTACCACCCTTCTCCTTAATGAATGGGACCAGTTCAGGAGGTTTCATGGGAAGGAATTCATCAATGAAATAAGTTTTGTGGCTGCCCAGGTAACTGGACAGGGTGGATTAAAATCAATTATTATTTTTTAAAAAATCAAAACAATCAGATTTTAAAATTTAAATCAGAATTTTTAAAATTTATATTGGACTTTTAAAATTTAAATTGTATTTTTTTTAAAAAATGCTTTAGGTAGAAAAATCTTTCTAAAGATAGTTTTCTATTTAAGTTACATTATAGTCCAAAGGCTATCCTCATCAGGAAATAAGGATTTGTTTTAAGTTTTTCATGTTTGCTATAACTCCCTCCAATGTATTTCTTAAAAAATCATTTAACCACATCAGTTAAGAAACAAGGATACATATGCTATAATGTTATTGTTTTAGTTAAATAAATTGTTTAAATTGTTATTAATGAAATGATTATTTTTTCCTTCCAATAAAGTACAGCAGAAAAGTTGTCCAACTATAAACAGTTAATTTATTAAACCTCACAAAAATTTCATAATTATCTGTCAATGTATTTCTAATAGTATAATCAAATCAGTAATTTTGGATATAACTGTAAAAACCACTCTGAAAATTTATTATTCCAAAAACAAAACCTTCATCTCGTAAATATTAAGATTATACCAGCAAGAATGAGTCTTTCTGTAAAAAATAATAATTAAATCAAGTCTTACTGACTTGTGATTTAAATCGTGATTGAAACCAAATCCACCCTGTAACTGGAGCAATGAGAGTCGATGCTGGAGCTCATAAAGGGAGCATGTACCACAGGCAATTAGGAAGGGGCAATATGTCAGTGTCAGTTTCTCTTGGTTTCTTATTTTAAATTCATTTCTCCACATTTTCATATCAGTTTCCAACTGACAGACTGACTCCAACTACAAAAGCTGTTGTAGGTTATTGTATGCACACTTTACCCTAGTATGTGCATTTGTCTATTGATTACATGGCTGGACAACTGAATTGCAAAAATGGGAAAAGGGCAGATTCTGAAGGATGGCTTTGTTTTGCTCTGCCAATTGAGTAAACGCACCTTTAAATATGAACTGACTTGAATTTCTTCCCTGCTCCTACAGGAAATGCAGAACCGAGAACACTACTTTATGAAAAGTCATGTTCCGTGGCTTGTGGCTAAGATATGGCCTTAGAAAGTGAGTCTGGGGGTTTACGTTTTGGTGATCAAAGAGGTTGAAAGTTCTTCTCACTTACACAGTTTGCCAACTCCACTGGCAGACAAGCAGGACTGGTCACTGGAATCGTCACACTCCTCAGTGGTGGCATTTCTGCAATCTTTTCCTTGACTGAAACAAGACTCACATATCAGAGATGCCACTGCAGACAGGGGAAAAATGGGTTTGGAAAACTTTAGTAACTGTGTAGGAGGACTAGGTCTGCGTCAAGGTACATGAACACAACACTTTCTGCTACAAACTTCATCTTACTAGAGGCAGCAAAGGCCACTGACTTGGATAGCTTCAAAAGCGGACTAGATGCATACATGGTTACCATCCTCAATTGATACATTTTTTCTGCAACATTGGAGGCACTATTTGTCTGAATACTAGTTACTGGAAACCGCAGAAAGTGAGCTGTTGCACTCAGATCTTTCTCATGGGCCCATGGCAAGAACAAGAGGCTAGACTAGATGGATCATTGTTCAGCTACATAATGCTTTCTATATATGTTCCCTCTGTAGTTCTTAAACTCTGAATGGGGGTGGGCCTTGCATAGACCAGAGAATGATTGTCCAAGATGGCTCCTGCAGTCTGAGGGAGAGGACCAGTAGAGAAGGTGTGGGGAAACCTTTAACCCTCCCGAAGTTGTTGTACTACAACTCCCATCAGCACCAGCAAACATGACAGACTCTGGTAAGCACATCTGGTACCCCTGGGATCTGACTCCACTCAGAGATTCGGGTGGTGTGTAACATCAGGAAACGTAAGGTTTGCATGGGGGGTCCGGGTAATTCCCCTCCAAAATATGAAAATTGTGCCTATACATTGTCTCCTATCATCAATTTCTACAAATGCAAGAAACTTACTCTTTACTTTAGATATGAGCCAGGATTCTGGTTCACCGAAGAGTGAACTACTGCATTTCTTGTTCCCCCAATGTACTTTGGGATGCCACAACTCTGTATGCATTTGGTTAAATAAAAATTGAATATTGGCAGCAAAAACAATATATCATAGAGGATCCTTTGTAATCTGGCTTTGTGCTTTATTCCTCTCCCTTTCAAAGGAACCTCAAGTCCTGGTTCCTTCCTCATCCTGCTTTAATTGCTGACCCCCTCCCACCTCGTTCCTTCCTGGAAACATGACGAACAGCACAGCGGCTATGGTTCTGCTCACCTGGAGGAAGCAGGGCCAAGAGGAGGCAGGAGATCAGGAGTGTCTTCATCATTCTAGAGAGCTGAAGAGCCAGGAAGAAGTTCGAGAGCAGCACTGGGCCAAGCAAGGAACTGATGCATGAAGAGGCTTAGTTGGAGGAATTTATAGAGGATAGCAAGGAGTACTTTGCCAGCACCCAGGAACAATGGATTCAGGACAGTGTCACACATTATTAGAATTCTAATTATGCTATACCATAATGTAAAGCACAGTGTTGAAAACCAATGAAATCTCTTCCCCCTTCCAATAACTCCAAGGACACGTCCCTCCTAATCTGTGCCAGCCTCAATTTCTCAACCCTGGATGTGGGGAAACGGGTCCCATCAGGTTACAGCACTGAAATTGGATTAGGTTTCTGGAAGCCAAGGCAGTTTCCCTGACAGTATGAACTTTTTTGAAAGGGGGACAAATGTCTGTCCACAGTTTCCTTTGTGGTACAGTAATAAAATGCACAGCGACCTGGATCCCCTCCCTCCCATTAAATGCACTTGTTTGGGGTAAAGATTTGGTCCACTTGCTCTTTAAAATAAGTTGGTTAGAGTTAAGAGAGTCCCATGGACTGCAAAAAGATCAAACCTATCCATTCTGAAGAAATCAGCCCTGAGTGCTCACTGGAAGGACAGATCCTGAAGCTGAGGCTCCGATACTTTGGCCACCTCATGAGAAGAGAAGACTCCCTGAAAAAGACCCTGATGCTGGGAAAGATTGAGGGCAGGAGAAGGGTACGCCAGAAGACGAGATTGTTGGACAGTGTTCTCGAAGCCATTAACATGAATTTGACCAAACTGTGGGAGGCAGTGGGTGACAGGAGTGCCTGGGGTGCTCTGGTCCAGGGGGTCATGAAGAGTCGGATATGATTAAAGAACAACAGAGTTAAGAGCAGGTGGGGTGGGGATTGTAGGTCTGTGTCCAGAGGAGATTGCAGATTTAAGGGACTATCTTTTACTGGGGTTGGATATACACAAGCACAGCTCCACGTCCTTTGCTTTGGTTTTTCTTGTGATGCTGATGAAACTCAAAGACATCGAGAATGATGTGGATTTGGCATTTGGACAATGAGAAATGGAGAGTGGCAGAACCAAGATGTCCTGGGAGAGTTTTCTTGGTGCAATGTTATTACAGTGGTACCTCAGGTTACAGATGCTTCAGGTTACAGACTCTGCTAACTCAGAAATAGTACCTTGGGTTAAGAACTTTGCTTCAGGATGAGAACAGAAATCAGGTGGCAGTGGCTCGGTGGAAGCGGGAGGCCCCATTAGCTAAAGTGGTACCTCAGGTTAAGAACAGTTTCAAGGTTAAGAACGGACCTCAGGAATGAATTAAGTTCTTAACCAGAGGTACCACTGTATACTATATCCAATTGCTGACACAGCTGAATTAACACAACTTAACAGCATCTGCTATACTGTTTCACAGCTGTAAAACTAGGTCATGATATTTACTCTGGGCTTTAAAGAGATACACATCTTGTAAAACAATAATGAACCTTAATATTTAAGTTACAGATAGGTAGCCGTGTTGGTCTGCCATAGTCAAAACAAAAAAATTCCTTCCAGTAGCACCTTAAAGACCAACTAAGTTAGTGCTTGGTATGAGCTTTCGTGTGCATGGTATCTGAAGAAGTGTGCATGCACACGAAAGCTCATACCAAGAACTAACTTAGTTGGTCTTTAAGGTGCTACTGGAAGGAATTTTTTTGTTCTTAATATTTAAATAAACCATTCAGCACAAAGGTTGGCTCAAATGTAGAAGAATGTACCCAATAAGTTTTGGAAATGTAAATATTGCAAGGGGTCATTCTGTCACATGGGGTGGACCTGCAAGGAGGGTAAGGTCTTTTTGGACATGTTATATAATGATTTTTAAAAAATCAAAAATCAGACTGACTTTTCCAAGAGTCCAGAACCCTTCTGGCTGGGGATATTGATCAGCAAAATTCCAAATCAAGGGATCTTTATGCTCACGGCTGGAAAGTTGTGAGAATGCCCTGAAGTAAGGTCTTAACCTGAGGTACCACTGTAATGTATATATTTGTGTAATATATAATACTGCTATATAATTTACTGTAAGCTTAGATTCTTCACATTGTTTCTTCTAAGAAGAATGGGACTCCGAGATGCTGGTAATCACAATGGAGGGGGTGGGGAGAGTGACATTGGGCTCATGTCCTCTTCCTTCACCATCTTCTTCTTCATATTATAAGAAGGAATTATTATAAGATGATGTACCGATGTTATTTAACTCTGAAGAGCTTAGATCGAATATATAAGAATGTACCAAAAAATGTTGGAAATGTAAGAATTGCATGGGGCCGTTCTGTCACATGTGGTAGACCTGTAGGATGGCTAAGGTCTTTTGGGGCATGATATATAATGGGGGGGGGATCAAACTGACTTTTCCAAGAGTCCAGAACCCTTCTGGCAGGCGATATTGGTCAGCAAAATTCCAAACTCTGTTTATGTATGCAGCGACAGTGGCAAGGGATCTTTATGCTCAGAGGTGGAAAGTTGTGAGAATACCCTGAAAGGAAGAATGGATGGTGAAAGCCTTAGAATATGCAGAGATGGCAAAGGTAAAGCAGGAGAGGCTGCTAAAACGGAGGCCCTTCCCCACATAATGCATTGCATCTGAGGGGCAAGCAGAGGGCAAGGTCTCCCTGGGCGGCATGGAGGGGGGAGTGCAAAGAGTCTAGATTTCCCTTCTACCCCAAAGATCTTTTATGTTTGTGTCTAATCTTGCCACTTTCTAAAATTTATTTATTGGTGCATGCTTTTCTCTCGTAAATGAAATAAAATAAATAAAATAAAACTGGGATTATGTGGTATTCTCAGGTGAGTGGAGGATGTACGTGCTGTGTCCTGTTCGTGATGTGGCTGTGGAACTTGCCATTCTTTTGATAGAAAATGCTGTGTGCGGGCATGGGGTGGGGGACAAAAATGGGGGAGTGTCAGTTGTGGGGAGTGAGAAATGTCCATGTTTTCATCTGAGGAATGTTGGAGGGTATGCAGTGGAGGGTATTGAACATCAATATGAAGCTGTTGGGAAGAGTCAACTGGAGTTTTGGAGTGAAACTCTGGATTCGTGCTTGGATGCCATGCTGCATGACAACAAACTGAGCTTGAAACTGGAGGCCTTGTGAATTAGTGATTTCTGGGTCTTGGAGATAGGTCAGTTGCTTGGGAGCCTGGACACAGTGGTTCATGCACTGGTAACTTCAAGACTTGATTATGGCAGCATGCAGTCTTTGTATCAGGTCCAGAAGCTGCAGCTAGGGCATAACATAACAGCCAGAGTGCTCATGGCAGCAGGCTACTGCCTACGTGTCACTCTGTTGCTGAGACAGTGGCACTGGTTGCCAATTTGCTGCTAGGTCACATTCAAGGTGCTTATGTTTATTTCCACATTCCTGAGCAATGTGAGCCAAAAGTGCCTTGAGGAGTGCACAAACCCCTATGCTACACCTCAAGCACTGAGATCCTTTGGCTGGGGCAATTCTTGTAGCTCCTTACACACTTGAGGTTTAGTCAGCTTTCAATTCACAGGAAGCCTTTAGTGCAACAGGAGAGAGAAAAGCTTTTATTCCTTTCTCACAGTAATGGAATTTGTGGGCAGCCAATGGCAGTGAATGTTGGAAGCTTTGAGAAAGGTGGAAGAAAGTACAGTGGTACCTCTGGTTACGAATGGGATCTGTTCTGGAGGCCTGGCCGTATCCCAAAATCTTCGTAACCTGAGGCGCCTGTTTTCCTCATGTGTGCAGCGCCGTGGAGCACTTCTGGGCATGCGTGAGGTGAGCAGAGCGCTTCTGTGTGTGCTCGAGTGGCAAACTCACTTCCTGGTTTGCTACGTCCTCAACCCAAAAGTTACGTTACCCAAAGGCAATGTAACCCGAGGGTCCACTGTAGTGTTTGAAATAGCATATGGTTAAACTCTGGAATTTGCTCTCAGGAAGTAAAGATGGGCAGCAACGTGGATGTGTTTGATTGAGGATTAGAAGAAAATAATGGAGGATAAGGCTAACAATGGCTACTAACCAAGTTGGCCATGTTCTTCCTCAGTTGTTGGAGACAGTATTCCTGTGAATGTCAGTTGGTGGGAATCACAAGCGGGGGG